TGATAAAATCATGTATTCCTTTTCTTTTAGTAAATATCTTCCTTGATGCCAATTTTGCACAGAATTATATTTTCGTTGCTCTGTTATTTAATATTTTATTAATTTTGTTATAATTGTGTTATCTTTGTTATTGATATTTCAATTTGGGAAATACTTGGTACCCAAAAATTTGCATAGAAAAATAATAAAAAAAAATTCTAGAATCATTCTAGGTACATAATCCACTATAGAAGAGTTGAATCCGAACCACACATTGATTTTCTGATAAATTTGTAGAGACATTCTTTTTTTTTTATAATCAGCAAAAGAGAACTCTTTATTGATGGAAATATGAAATTCTTATTTCATTAAAACAGATGAGTGCAAAGAGCATCATAGTGGAACCACTCAATTCCAACTAGGGTGGCACCAAGAATCCACCCTTCCAGGCCAACCAAGTAATGAATTTGGCTCTAGGTGTAGATAAGTTGTTCCATATCAGTCCAGCAGAGCTGTAGACAGAACCAAAATCCATATCACACCATTTATAGGCACTGCTAACCTTGAACACACCTGCTTGATCAGCCTTCCATTTCACAGATTTCTCATGCTCCATGCCTATCCTAGGCCCTGTTCCCAGAAAATCAATGAGTTTTAATAACTCATCTTCTTCCCAAGCATGTAGATTATTGTTCCTGAATACTTTTCACATTGACCATCACCTTATAATATAACTTTGCAAAAAATACTGTTTTATGTTATTCTAAGTAACTATTGTCTATCTATTAATTTGAGGAATGGTATTTTAAAATGTAAATTAGCAAATAATTATCATTGAATAAGGAAGTCTTAAGTCTTTGCTAAAAAGGAAATAGTAAATATTTTAATTTCAGTGTTTACGTTATAGTAGGTTGGCACATACTGCAGATTATTAGTATTTAGGTATTTGTTGATATGTATCTTTCTCAGTTGTTAGCATTGCCTTAGCATCTTATTTGTTGTAGTTGATGTTATATTCTCATCCTCTATAAATTCACTCTCGCTGATTTTATGACTCAATCTAGAATTTATTTCATATATGTAGGTGGGTGTATGAAGGGGTGATTGATGATCATTATGGTGAACTTTGGCGCAAATCATCATTATCTTGAGTGTATAAAAGCTGCGCTTAATGTGCATCATAGACCAATTAATATGACTGTAAGAGGAGTGATTGGATCAATGTGAAGATGATAAAAGAAATAGAAGGCGAAGGAGAACATGCGCTTAGGTGATAAGAAATGACAAGATTACCTTAAATTAAACTGAGAGTATGACTTTGAATAGAATCAATTCGAGGAAATGGATCCAAGTACCCTGCTACCCCAAGTAATTGAAATAAAGGCATGTTGAATTGAGTATCTAGTAGTAGCTGAGATTGTTGCTGATCTTGGTGAGAACATGTTTGTGTGAGAAATTGTGTCAGCATCAGCATGGCACCTGCGCTTAGCAGGATGTGTTCTGGTCTGTAGTAGGTGGTTGTCATCAATAAGTTCATTGATGTTTATTTCATGTTTCAGGTTCAATGGCCATTGTCCCTTGTTATATCAAGAAAAGCCTTTTGATGAGCTTTGGCGCAAATCATCATTATCTTGAGTGTATAAAAGCTGCGCTTAATGTGCATCATAGACCAATTAATATGACTGTAAGGAGGAGTGATTGGATCAATGTGAAGATGATAAAAGAAATAGAAGGCGAAGGAGAACATGCGCTTAGGTGATAAGAAATGACAAGATTACCTTAAATTAAACTGAGAGTATGACTTTGAATAGAATCAATTCGAGGAAATGGATCCAAATACCTAGCTACCCCAAGTAATTGAAATAAAGGGATATTGAATTGAGTATCTAGTAGTAGCTGAGATTGTTGCTGATCTTGGTGAGAACAAGTTTGAGTGAGAAATTGTGTCAGCATCGGCATGGCACCTGCGCTTAGCAGGATGTGTTCTGGTCTGTAGTAGGTGGTTGTCATCAATAAGTTCATTGATGTTTATTTCATGTTTCAGGTTCAATGGCCATTGTCCCTTGTTATATCAAGAAAAGCCTTTTGATGAGCTTTGGCGCAAATCATCATTATCTTGAGTGTATAAAAGCTGCGCTTAATGTGCATCATAGACCAATTAATATGACTGTAAGGAGGAGTGATTGGATCAATGTGAAGATGATAAAAGAAATAGAAGGCGAAGGAGAACATGCGCTTAGGTGATAAGAAATGACAAGATTACCTTAAATTAAACTGAGAGTATGACTTTGAATAGAATCAATTCGAGGAAATGGATCCAAATACCTAGCTACCCCAAGTAATTGAAATAAAGGGATATTGAATTGAGTATCTAGTAGTAGCTGAGATTGTTGCTGATCTTGGTGAGAACAAGTTTGAGTGAGAAATTGTGTCAGCATCGGCATGGCACCTGCACTTAGCAGGATGTGTTCTGGTCTGTAGTAGGTGGTTGTCATCAATAAGTTCATTGATGTTTATTTCATGTTTCAGGTTCAATGGCCATTGTCCCTTGTTATATCAAGAAAAGCCTTAACAAAATACCAGCTGATATTCCGCTTCCTGTTTCATTATGAGCATGTGGATCTCCAACTTTGTGGGGCATGGAAAATACATCAAGTATGGAGCAGAAATCTGTTTCATAATTTGTGAATGTTGGCTCCTTTTGTTTGTCTAATTTCACTGCAATCTGATTGTAGGGTGTGCGTGCTGTTAACACAAAAGGAACTGCAATCTCTCGGTCATGTTTGTTGTGTCGAAGTATGCTTAAGTTTATTAATAGCCTTCTACACTATCTAAAATTTGAGGCATGTTTTACCCTTCCTCTTCTCCTCGTTTTTATTTTTTAAATATATTTTTTTTCTAGCAAGAATGATAGCAATTATGAATTGCTGCACCTGAAGCAAATAGATTTAATGTCTCTTATCGACTTCTAATTTGTATTTGTTTGTCAGAGAGTAGGAACTTTGCATAACTAATCTAAAATATTTCTTCAAGGAATTTTGAGGTCCTTAGGGATATTGTGTTTTCAGGTTCTTGAACCCAACTGGCATGTGATGCATAACAGACTACAAACTGCAAAGAGCATAGATGATGTATATATGCACTCTCTTACTGGTTTTGATGTATCCTAGTTGTTCAATTTCATAAAACCAAAAAAGAAATAGAACTTTGTTTCTATATTTGTCTCAATTAATAGACTGACAAAGCTTCAAATCATCAAATTCTCTTTTTGTGTTTTGCCTAATACTTTTGACTCCTTATGTGAAACAGGTTATTGAATACCATAATTTTTTCCTTGAGAAGTGTCTAAGGGAATGCTTGCTTCTTTTGCCCGAAGTTCTTAAGGTTAGTTTTGATTTTTATCATCAGTGTAAAGGATAAAGTTTCTTTGCTTAAGATCATATTTTATTAAGCTTTCTGTTTGATATATGCCATTTGAAAATTTTATATTTTGAACTTTTGAACTAGATTATCAAAACATGTCTTTGTCCCAAAGTTTCAATGCTTGGATGAAGTTTTGAGAATTCAACCTTCCTAAATTGAAGTTGAAGCTATATATAGAATTTGAAACCTTACTCCGAGAATGTACAACTGAGAGGGTGCCTCAGAACCAGTTTTATGTGTGCAAGTAATGTAAGATTGCTAGTTTCAGTAATACATGTAGACCTATGAAGCATGGATACGGATATGGATACGATACAAATACCATGATATGACAAGATCTTAAAAAAAGGGATACTCAAAGAATGGTGAGAAATCCTTCTTTAGGAATTAGATATTAGTTTAAGAGCCTTAGTCAGTTTGCTCTTCTTCTTCTTCTATTTTATTTTTTTCTCTGTAGGTTTTATAAAAATTTCATTTCAATATTAAGTCTAAACTTGTTTATATTGCTCTTGTTCTTTTTCCTAACATTTAAAAGTTTATATGCAAAAGTATCATATGCAAGTTTAATTGCTTAGTTAATTGTTGAAATTTGATTTTAGTATCAAGTCTAAATTGTTTTATATTGCTCTTGTTCCTGCTCTACGAATTGTTTACTTTAGGGTTCAACTCTCACTTTAGTTTCTGTCTTTAAATTTTTCTAGTTGATTTTTCTGTTGTTATTGAGCTAGAAAGTTACTAATTGAGTTGGCATGGCTCAGAATTTCTATCCATTTTTCCTTCATTTATTTGGTGCTTCGGTTTATATCCCAAGTTTTCTATGTGCAGAAAGTGGAGAGGCTGAAATCTATCTGCCTTCAGTATGCAGCAGCAACTCAGTGGTTGATTTCATCTTCCATTGACATTCCCAAGCTTGATACTACATCCTCTGAAAAATTCAAGCAAATGAAAATAAGAAAGCCATCATCATCTCAGGCACTGAAGTTAGCCACTGAAAATGCAGCGGTCACTGATTCTGTTCTGTAAGGATAAATCACTAGTGCAACTCTCTCTCTCTCTCTCTCTCTCTCTCTCTCTCTCTCTCATTAATATGCTGTGAATTATCTGCAGGAAATTTGAGAGGGAATTTAATTCTGAGCTTGAGTCTCGGGTCAATTTTGAGCAGCAGTTCTCAAGCCGAGCCATATTTAACTCATCTTGCTCAGTGGATTCTCAGTGTTGGAAGGGACCAGTGAGTTAGTTCTGACACTTTGCTCCGTCGTTTTTTGGGAGTAGACAATATTATTTAAGACGCCTTTTGCTCGTAAATTGATGATATGGGACTGTTAAGAACAATTCTTCGTCTCTTTTGTCCTATATATTCTAGCCAATGAGCTTTTAACATGCTGTTTGCCTGAATTTTCTCCTTCTGGGATGTTGAAATTGGAGTGTTCAACTGTTGCTTCTAACCCTGATTATTAAACCTATATAGGGAATTGGCTCATCTTGAGTTAAGATAGTAGTAAAATGAAAATTCTCAAAATATAAACAATTTAAAATATATGACATTTTTTTTAATAACCAATCATCTAGACTTGTTTGCGTGTATCTCATCTAATCCTAATGACCGGACAAATCTTCAGTGGCCCATTGGAGTAAGACAAACTTGAAAGTTTGAATTTTATCGTCGAATTTTTACCGCCCAACCAAATCTTTAGAGTTTTTGTAAAAATATATAATAGGAGGTTAAACAAACCAAATCTCAACTGTAAATGAAATAGTAGAAGCCAGTTTGATGGTTTGACAAGTTATATACTATTAATAATTCTTAAAATCTAGAAATTATATGCAATTGGGAATGTTTGAACCCTAAAACATGTATGATGTATTGGGAATAATTAGTTTTCGAAACTTGTGGAATTGGAACTGAAAATAAAAATTGTGGGACTGACGTAAGTCGAAATCTGTTTATTACATACTCCACATCTTATTAAAACTAAAATTTAATACACAAGATGTCATTGAAACCTTGTTAATTGATGACTGTATGGGAAAGAGAATGAAATCCTTGTTAGTTAATGACGGTATGGGAAAGAGAATGAAATCCTTGTTAGTTAATGACGGTATGGGAAAGAGAATGAAATCAGGCCTGGTTGAATGGCTTGATAATCGTAAGAATGTGCCCTTACAAGAAAGGAGAGATTGGCTTGGAGCAACAAAACTAGAGTAGAGTATAATGGTTTCCGTAATTTAATTCACATGGAGCGTTTTGAGAAATTAGTAAAAAATTAATTTTTTAACTTATTTTGTCTTTTTGTAGGTAAATTATGTGAGAGGTGATATGATTCAAAATGAATAAAAAATTGGAAGCTGACTTTTACCAGCTTTCCAAAAAACTCCATAACTCAGTTTTTTATACTAATAAAACGTAAATTTTGTGGGCATCAATTTGAAGCAATTTGGAAAGTTGCTAAAAAGCCAGTTTTTTGGCTTTTTACCAAAAAAAGCCACCAAAAAAGTCAGTTTTTTTGCCAAAAAAGTCAAAAAGTCAAAAAGTCAACTTTTTATCAACTTCTCAAAGCACTCCTTTATATGCGATCAACTTGTCTAGTTTTTTTTTTTAATTTTTTTATCAGCAATAATAGTTATTAAACAAATAAATATTTAATTAAATAAAAAAATAAAAAATAAAATAAATAAGAGATAAAAATAAAATAGAAAACCTCAAACAAGAGATCAATCCCGATCTCGATTATTGGGATGTTCAATAGGTAGAGAGGGTGAGGTGGGGTCTAGGGCTAGTTCTGAGATTTCAAGGACCCAAAACCGATAATCAACTAATAAATATCACTAGATCATTTGGGGCTTTTTACATTTTTTTTTATTCAATGAAATTTTTTTTTGAAGGTAAAGGATAAAGATTTGTATCAAAATCACAAAAAATACTTAGCATTATATTACAACAACTAATAAGTATCATTTGATCCTCGTTTTTCTTGCATTTTTAGAAGCAAATAAATCAATCATACTTGCATAATCTTTTTTTTTTTTTTGTAAAATCATTTTCAATGGATAACAATGCTAATCCATTCAATCTTTTTTGTGACATGGTTGATTGAAGGTAATTTTTTATCATTATTTAGCAAATTTTCATCTAACAAATTTTAGTTCTCATTATTCACCAAATTTTCATTCTCATTATTCACCAAAGTTTCAAATTCTTCATTATTCAAGTCTTCAACTGATTCTTCTATTTGTTTGTCACTCGTAAAGAACTTATCAATTGCTCCTCTTTGACACTCGACTAATTTTTCAACTCTTTACTTCTTTTTTCTTTTTGCAAATGTTGACAAATAATTTCTTTTAAGAGTCATGATAAGCTGAAATCAAAATAATTTTTTAGCTCTAAACAGTACAAGAGCACCACCACCACTTAACAAAACACAAAACTTCTAAATTATATGATGTGAACTATTAAACTTCTAATGTTATATTAGTACAGGTAGCAAAAGATTAATTCTTCTTAATGATACAGATTTGTATAAATACCAATATTATAATAGCAATTGAGCAAAAGATAAGACAAATATTTAATTAATCGAATAGAAAAAAAGGCCTGCTTATGCTGTGCTGCCGCTCTGAATTCTTGAGAAATTCGTTAGTGTCTGTTGTGCTTCTTCTCTCAAATTTTTTGAAAAATTAAATTAAGAGTTAGGATTAGGAATTAGATATGGAGAGAGAATGAGCCCTTTTAATTTTGAATGGGTTTTTAATTTTTTAATGAGTCTATTTATTTTAAGTTAGTTTGGGTCTTCTTTAATCTTTTTTGGACTTAAAAGATACATAATATATTACACTAAACTATAATAAGAGGGTCCTTTTTTAGGTATATTTTGAGAGGTCCTAAGCCACGGCCTTATGCCCTAGTGGTGTCTTTGGTAGTTGGCCTAGAAAACTTGCAAAAATTGTAGAATTTTCAATGATTTGTCCCCTTAAGAACCACAAAATGAACCAAGACAAAGAAGAGCAACAAGGTAGAAGAATCAGTATCTCTGAATCTCCAAGATTTTTAAAGTTTCATAGATAAAAAGATAGACAAGGGAGAAGGGAAAAATAATACAACTTGGAAAAGGAAACCAACAAAGTTGACACTCAGGATAATGGAATTGAGTTGGGTAATAAGAGATGTGACTGTCAATCAGACAAGATCGTGGTTAAGGGTATAAAATTAATTAGGAATGTTCAATTGAGACAAGATGCTAAAGACGAAGTTGTGGTCCACCACATATTGTTTTCGTCATAAATGATAATAGTCCGTCAGACTCCGTCTCCACACCTGACAAGATATTTATTGGAGTTGACGATGGTAACAATCATATACCATCCCTAAAAGGCAAGAAGCCAAACTAAACCTGAATAAATGACTAAAGAGAATTGACAAATACAGCCATAAACAAAAGCAAGCCACTGAGCATGGGAAAAAATGGAAAGAATTATAAGGTTGAAATAAGTGCGAGAAGTTTTAGTTTCCTCTAATATTCTAAATTGAAGAATACTTGACATAAAAAGAATGTCGAATATATGAATTGAAAGCATTGGCCAAATATGAATTGCAAGCATTAGAGATCAAATGGTTTAATACGAAATCCAGCAACGTTTTTGTTGGGTTTAGTCACACAAGAAATGCCCATTTGATCGAGTAATAAATGAATGACAAATGTGTGAAAAATTATCATTAAATTTTCATGTATTATAGAAAAAAGTTTAAAACAAGGGCATTGGTGTAATAGATTGCATTAGACCCTAAGACTATTTGGTTCATGAATTTGGAAAGGAATTTAAGAAGGAAAAGAAAAAATGTGTGTGAAATTAGATCCATGAACCAAACACAATCTAAGGTTATATTTTGGATTAAGAATTTGAGAACCGGTAATTTATGAAGGAAATGGGAAAAAAAAAATGAATAAAATAAAGGGGGATATCAAAAAAGTAAAAAGTAAAAAAATAATTTCAAATTTATAAAAGTACATGTGATTTATGCACTGGATTTGTGTAAATAAATGTTATACTATCATAAGCTTGTAATTATTTTTTATACTTCTCACTTTTTTGAAATTTCCTCTAAAATAAAAAGTAAATATTTTTCTTTCTTTTTTTTTTCCCCCACAAATCCGTCCTCAAATTATTGATCCAAACATAATCTAAAGGGCGACCAAGCTCAGTTCTCAAGTTCGAGCTCCATATCCCCTTCCACCATTCCTCCCTACTCAAAAAGGGGGGAGGGGGGGGGGAATTCTGTATTTCTTTTTTCTGTTTTTGTTTGTGCGTGTCTTCTCAATTGTAGCCCTAAAAGTATGTACCATCCACATAAAGCTGGGAAGGGTTGGTTACGAATTTCTTTAATTTCAAGACAACAGAAATTAGACCACTTGTACTAATTGCACAAAATCAAATTATAGAATAGAGACAAGGGGATGGGTTTCATTTAGGAGACTCACATATAGGCCTCATCTATTGTCTCGATTTCTTGATTCATGATTTAATTATGTTCAACGAAATTTTCTTAAAATTAGAACCGTTACTAGTCTTGTTCACATAAAAAAATGAAGGAGTGTTTCTAGTTGTAGCATGTAAAATGATATATATATATCACTAAAAAATTATATAATTCACTATTATTTTTTAATATAGTGGATCTTACAAGTACACATTAGGTTCGTTGTAATGATCCACGTATCCAATGAAACTAATGATGATATACACTTCCGCATATAACGTATATTGCAGCACGATGGGCACATTGATCCTAAAAATAATATTTGTTACCGAGTGAACTTTTACTCTTTTTTTTCCACTAATGTCAACATGCGTTTCGCATATAAGATACAATTTTTGTATATCAACTTGTAACAACCAAGGTCACATGGATTCAACACATTAACTAGGTGTTTTCGATCAACTAATAATATGCAAGCTATTGTGAAGCCGTTGTGAAAATTCAAATTTCATCGGCTATCAATGCAACATTGTAGGATCTATATATTAGAAATCAAAATTCTATGAATATAAGTAATTACTAAAATATAAACTTAGATACATACTGTTTGATTCCGTTATTGTCTTGAGTTTTGCTTCCTTGAAAGAATAAAACCTTAGCATCAGCTCTTCCCCTCCTTCTCCTAATCTTTTTGTTGTCTTTTCAATGGAGCTGACAACCCTTTGACCAACATATATATATGTATATAGATATATGTAAATCCTAATAAG